TTTTCCAATTGTTTTATGAAAAACAAAGGGAGAATATGAGGACATGCTATTACCTGGGGGCCACATGAGCTCTGGTAAAGGTCAACTGCAAAACTTGGACCTTGGCAGCCATGGTCAGGAGAACTTTGGCACTTGAACTTCATCTGGAAGGAGGTGCGGTTTGTGCAGGGTGACATAGAGGTAACATCAGGTTTTTTGTGCAAGAGATCCATTCTGAAAAGAGTTGATGTTGATTTTGTATGTTTAAAACTTCTGTTCTTTATCAGTATATTGATAAGATGGAGCAAGCAGAAATAGATACTTCTACATACTCACATTTCTATCATTCTTGTTTATGATCAATAGCTTGATATTAACATTATCTGTAAGAATTATTCCTATAAACTACTTGCTGATCTGGCTTTGAGCAGTATGCCCCAGAAGCTAAGCAAGACGCAAGGATATTTTATAAAACTGACACAAGGCAGAATTTTTGAGTATTAAAATGACTTTTTTTTCCATGCTTCTCCATCTCTCAATGAGCAGTTTTATAACTAAATTAAAATGCTAATGAAACAAATTATGGAGATTCTGAGATTAGGTTGTGTTGCACAAGGAGGTAAATACAAAACATACTAAGGACAGGCTTCAGTCAGCAGTACTTTCCTCTCTGCTTAAAGAAATACAGAGTTTAATGTCAGTTTTGGAATTTGGGTTTCTCCTGCAAGCCTGTGTGTTAGCTTTTCCTCTGTACATTTAATCTCCAGAAATCTGATTGTTTTCCCTCCTAGTGCTAGCCCCACCTCAAATAACCCCACAGAGTCTTCCCCTAATCTCTCAGTTTGTATTTAAATAGTCCAGGCCCCATTTATATTTGCTGTTTACACTGTTTCTATGCTGTTCTGCTGTTGCTGTTTCCATTCTATCCCTTTACAGCCCTGTCCTTTCTGCAATCCCCTTTTCTCCATGTCTTCTTCTAAATTATTGTCAAACTGTTCCCAGCAGCTCCTGTATGCTGGGGGCTATGAGGGAGAGCGCAGAGCATGTGGGACCTCCTGCATGTTCACTGCTCACCTCGGTTCTGAGTTTGGCAGCAGTAACGAGGCTTTTTTTGTTAAGCTTTAAGAACAAGAAATAAAGAATTCCGAAAAATATGGACATCCAATAAGACAAGCTTTGGCATAGCTTTTGGGGGAAGTTAGGAGCAGCACATTAGAGCAAAAAGTCTTAGTTTTACCTGTAGTTATGTTGATGCAACTGCCATCTTGGTCTATTGACCTACACGTGAAGGTCACCAGCTGCCCCTGGAACATCATGCAGCATTAGCTCAGTTGAGAGACACAGGAAGGAACAGTAGTTTCGTGTTTATAACCTGTGGAAAATAATAACACGTCTCACAAATGATTCTTAATAAGAAAACAGGGTTCTAAGGAGAGGGAGGAAAAAGAACAATTTATGCTTATGAACCAGAGGAAATGCTTTTTTTCCTATATACTCTGCAGTTGGCCTCCATTATTAATTGACTCCAAAGGAAGGTTAAGCTGCTCCTTGTAGCCTTTACTCATGTAACTATCCTCAGGGCGTCTTGCTGCAAGGCGTGTGGGCCCTCGCTGCGTGGCTCCCCCGTGCAAAGGCCTGGGTAGCTGCAGCCAGGTTCCATCAAACGAGTTTCCTTCAGCCCTTTATTCTGAACATCGGCTACTCTAATTTCCAAGCATCTTGGTCTGTTTGTGTGACTGTGGATTAATACAATTTTATAAGTATCTACTTCAGATAATGAAATTTGCCTGCAACCTGACTCTTTCAGGCCCAGGTAAGAGTGTCTGTTAATTCATTGCACAATACGCCCATGAACATCATTTTCCTCTGGTTCATGAGTTGCAATAGGCCATTAGTTTTTTCACCATCCTTGTCAAATTTCCTGATGGAAAGTATTTCTCCCCTTTCCACTTACTGTTTTGCTAGTGTAAGTCCCCCCATTAATGTAAAATGCAGGATTAATCTTTATCCATCGTGGTACTCACAGCACTGCTAGGATGTTGCGACATTAAGTACTTCTTCCTGAAAAGAACAAAAGAACAAATGACAAATGTCTGTATTTAATTTGGAAGCGAAGTATATTAAAACACAGACACAGAGACACACACACACAAAAACAAACCAAAATAAAACTGCATATAAACACACACACACACATATATATAAAGGAGGTACTGATCATGATTTATACAAGATAGGGTAGCCCTATGACCCTGTCCTATCAATTATGTTCATTTAGGGTTGAATTAGAAAATAGTTTTCCAAGAACTGTGAGGCTTGTTTTTAACATTTTTTCCACAAAAATCAAAAGGCCACCAAGGCTGTACTTAGCTTATTTAGCTACTTTAGAAAGGTCAATTTCCTTACATGCAATCGGGATTATGAGGGGATGAGAGAGGGTTTGAATGCACAAATTACTCATAGCAAACAGCTATAAGCTAAAACACCTAATCAAATTACATAGTTATAAGATAACACAGGACTGAAAGCTTCTAAACATTTTATTTGCTCTAAGACCCTGCTTCTCAAAATCTGTTTTTATAACACTGAGAAAAAAAAAAGTTATTGTCTGAATTGAAAAGCCCTGCTGTTAGGTTGTTTTGCTGTAGCAAAGTATTATAAATTAATAAAAAAAAAATCCAATTGTCTTGTGCCTGGTGTCCTGATGCACCAGCAATTATTTTTGCTTGATGTATTTTTAAGGAAAGATTTTATCAAACTCATTTAGCTTTTAAAACAGACGGAGAAACAATTTGTTCTGCTTCTATTTGACCCAGAGTTTTTTTTTTTTCCATTTTATAGAAGGGCTTCATTAATGCATAAACTCATAAGTTAGATTTTTTCTTTTACTGAAAATAATACAAGTATTTTAAATGTCATTTAAACTGAGTTATGTTATTCTTTTAGCTAGCATTTACCTTGTGTATAATGTATGCAGGTTACTTTTTCTGCTCCTCGATGGAATGGAAAAGAATAAGCAGAATGATAACATTGGATTCAGTGTGTACATAGGTAGTTAATTTTTTTTTTTATATCCTCACCCAAATTTAAATTTTCAAAGTATATAAAAATCTAATGAAAAATCAGTGAATTCCTAGAGTATCTATACCATACCTTTTATTAGAAAATATTCTTTATTTTGTCCATGTATGACAGTTGAGCCTGGACAACTTTCGGTCCATTGAAGTTAGGGAACAAAAGACCATGTGCAAAAAGAAAAGTTGGCACAGTTGTTTGAAGAGAAGGCAGGAAACTGAGGGACATTCTTTTTGATATATGTTGTTTTATACATGAGATATAGTCAGGATTTTGGACACAGAACAAGGAGGCCCACTTCGGAATGGTGTAAAGGGAATGCTAAAGCACAGAAAAAGAAGAAAGGAGTATGATGCTATAACTATGAAAATAACTGGAAAGTTTAGTGGCATTACCAATCACATTGCAGACCATATAGATGAAACTACTGCCTAGCAGCCTTTCAACAACATAAGAGGAAGGTGGATTTTTTATTTTTAAGCAGCATGGGTCTGTCTGTTTTTGTGGTTGTTTTTGCTTTGGTAATTTTAATGGTTTAAGAAGAAAGAATTGAACTTGGAAACCTAGCTTACAATCTTTGCTTGCTGACATGATAAAAGATGAGCTTTAGACTCAAAAAATATGATCAAAATGTTTTGAAGTGCTGATCTATTTAAAGATGGGTGATACATTCTGGTAAGTCATTTATGAGATTTTAAAACACTAAAAATTTTTAGTTTTTTTTTGTATAGTCATCCTGTAAGCAGAGATATAACTGAAATACATCAGTGCCGATTGAACAGGATACCCCAAATATTGTTGGAGATCTGTGTAAATGGATTGGATCATAAAAGGCCACGTGAGTATAGGAATTTTAGGGCTCTTTCTCCAGCATGATATCTGCTTATGCTAGCTAATCATCTTGCTCTAAAAAAAAAAAAAAACAGCTGTATGTTTGAAAGACAAATACCGATTAAAGAAGGTTTGCTTGTTAGATGTTACTAAATAATGAAAACTCAAGAGAGAGGTAGTGTGAGGGAATGTAATCTTTTAATGACAAAATGCAACATTTAATGTTTTATATACTTTTTCATGTTTACATAGATAAAATGCAATGTTTAACTGATGTTTTATAGACAGTACCTTCTGATTTAACTAGGAAAATGAGCTGTAATTGGTGCCTTTACTATACGGATGCTGAATTTATCAACGCACACTTTGATACAGCATAACACAAGCCCTGTATTTCAAAGCGATGTACAAATCCCGAGCCCATCATTGCTACAGTGAGGTCAGCCACAGTGCCTCTCTCTCAAAGCAAAAATAAATGCTTGGAAGTATTTGCACTGTGAAGCAAAAGAATATTTTAATGTCTGACTTTTCTAATATTTCAAGATAAACCTTTGACTCAGGAATCTCCCTCTAATCTCTATATAGGCACAACACCCTGAGACAGTGTCTGTCATAAACCATGAACTCTGAGTTATTTCCAACCCTCTATAACAGAGATAATTCTAATGTGCCTAATTTGATGCATTTAAGTTAATCATGTGCAATTTTTAAAGGATACAAAAAACATAACATGATTCATTTAACATTTTCTGGCATTGAAAAATTGCAGAAATTCTACTGTTCAAAGCTGAGACAATATTTCATGTTCTTCATATTCTCAGGTGGCTGAAATGTCATTTTTTAAAATTCACAGACTGTGAGGCGATTCAGGTTGCAATTTTTGTCATTCCAGCTTCCATCCTTGTACATCTCCACACATTTTTCTCTCCCTTTGCCATTTGGCTCATACTGGTGCCACTTGGTATAATTCACAGGCATGCCATTCATATAGCTGAACTGACCTAAAGTCTCATTCTCCTTAATGCCTAAGTAAGCATATCTGTTATACTGCTTTACAATACCCAAAACAGCGTTATTTTCCTCCTCATTCATGGGAGTTGCAAGAGTTCCTCCAGCCTCTTCACAGGATTTTAGTGCAGATGCAAAATTAACTTCCTTCCCATTGCTGGCAAGTATTTTCTCTCCTACTTCTGTTATTTTTGTATTCAAAGTAAGCACTAAAAATAGAAAAGGAAAGAGCTAGTTAGGTTTATTTATCTATTTATTTATTTATTTCCTCTGGCATAGCGATGGGAAAGTGAAGAAAGAAAAATCAAGAGGAGAGGAGAAAATTAAAATTTGTGAAGTGAAAGGAAGAAGAAAGTGATGAGGGCAAGAAAATTAAAATGAAGGAAAGGATGAACAGAAAAGAAGCTGTTCAAAATTTTATGAACTCATTAGTTATTCAATAAGTATATTATGTTGCATGCAACCATCTGCCATCACTGCCTATAAGCAAGGACGCGTCACTACCACTTCCTTATATATGGTATCAGCCCTATTTATTTGTGTGCACTTCAGAAAGAGTGCCAAGTTTTGCTTCAACTCTGAGCCAGGAAAAATAGAAAAATTATAAATGTTTTGTGCAGTCTTTCTTTTAAAATTGTTTGTGAACTAAAACAGTAAAAACAGAAACATTACCGCCTTCCAGTCTGCCAATTCGATGTTTTAAACTTGCTAAAACATTTCCTAATTCAGTGTCAAGAGAAGCAGGTAGACCTACACAGATTAAAAAAAAGAAAAAAAAAAAGTTATACAATCAAGCCAAAATCAAGCTCTGTTGAGAGGAACAATTCACTGAACAAAACTAATCACTTTAGAAAGCTAACTCATGCATAACATGCTTCTCTTGCATCACCTAGAGGAAAACAATTATTTCCCCATTACTTTTTCACAGGGTAGTTAATCTATATGCCTAATACCCACCCCACCCCTAAAATGCTGATAATTCACGTATAGATAAAGGAGGCCTAGGAAAAGCTGCGAGAGAAATGGGATGCATATTTCTAGGTTGCAGGCTCACATTTCTGACATACCTGTGAAAGTGCAAAGATGCTAAGATAGTGTGTTTGACTGTGTCTTTGACAAAGAGAATTTGTTTCATTCCAGTGATTGTTACTGACCAGGCACAAAGGAGAGCTTGGGGAGGGAACTTGTGTTACGGCATCAAACAGAATTCAGCTCGTACCACTTTCAGTCAGCTTAATGGATCCTTTGTGGTTTTACAGTGGGATCCTACTTTAATGTGAACCGTAAACACCAGTATAGGAGGGTTTCTGCACCCTCCATTGTGTGAAACATGTACAGCTAATCCAGCACTGATGGCCAAGGTAGATGCTTTTTTTCATACAAACAGCCACTGGCAACAGCAGACTTGAATGCAGAAGGAAGTCATGAGGGTGCTCGTGTGATTGCGTTGCCACTGCTCACATCTAAAATGGAGGGGAATATAGATGCCCAGAATGTTGTTGACATTTAGAGTTGTCTTATGTGTTTCTCACTGACTCTAAAGTGCAATATTTGACCCAATAACAGTGCATTCAACAGAGAGCCTTTACACAGAAATCAGCCTTTTTTACCTGGTGGTCCAGTGTTGCCTTTTTCCCCTTTCTCTCCTCGCTCTCCCTTGAGCCCTGGAGGTCCAGGAGGTCCATCTCTTCCAGGAGGCCCCATTGCACCTCCAGGGGGTCCTACGGGACCTGGAAGAGAAGCACAAAAATAAAATGATTTTATATATATATTTTTCCAATAGATGCATATTCTGGGACCTTCAGGACCTGGAAAAAGCATTTTTTCTGGAGATAAAATTATACAAGGTTAAGGTGTGTTCCTTACCAGACTGCTATCACAAATGCTGCCTTCCAATACTGTAAAAACATATCAGAAGCTCTTTAATTACACTCCTACTTATTGGAATAATATTTTCTTCATACTTAAAAAAATCTTTCTGCTGTGAAAATAAGAGCACTGGATATACATACATATGTATTTATTAATATATTGATAAATATATATAAAGTATATCAATTCTTATATTTATTGATACTTTAATATATTCATATATATGCATATATAGATTGATACTTATATATATATATATATATAAGTAAGTATAACGTGTTCATTTCCTCTCTTTGACCAGAAAAGAATCTTATCTTTCAGAAAGAAAAATTAAACTGATCACTTCCTCCGTTCCGTTCTTCCCTCTTCTTGCTCCTCTGTGTTGAGGGTCTTTCTTCTTGCAGCTTTCATCACAAAAGATTTGTTGCAAAACAGGAAGTTGTTAGCTTGGACTGCAAATAGGTGACAATTGATTACAGAGCAAAAAAATCACTCTGTAAATCTACTGGAACTGGCAACCCATAGGCATTGAAATAAAAGTACTATTGCCTTACTTTGTCTAAGTGAAAAGATAATGTACAACAAGACATCTCTTTCCTTCCTGTACTCCTCCTTAGTACATGTGGAGTAGAGCGAAGACAAGCACTGCAGTTACCTGGTGGCCCTGGTTCTCCTCTCAGACCGTCCCTTCCATCCCTTCCAGGCAGCCCGTTAGCCCCGGGAGCACCCGGCAGCCCGGGTATTCCTGCGCACTTTTCCTCTGCATGGCAGGACCCGAGAAAAGCTGCTACTGCTGCGACCACGTAGAATGAACAGGACAACATGATTGCTCTGGGCAGCTGTAAAATAGAGTCAAGAACATGTTTGTCAGGGAATAATTCCCTAAGAAATACATTAACACACTGGAGAGTGCTTTAAAGACTGAAGTGTGCTTTTTGTCTTCCAGATTGACTCTATTGTAGGCTTTTGGCTTCATTATAAATCCACCTCAAAAATGGCTATTTGTAAGGGCAAAGTTCACATGTATTTGTACAGAGAAATGTCTCACTGAAATGAGCGCAGAAGAAAACGCTCTTGATCACGAAACTATTCAACTGTGCCATAAATTTTAGCAGTAAACTGTGCACAGAATCTTTTCAAGCTGCACAGATTTCTGTCCCTACTGTCAAGAACATTCACTCTTTGTGAGAACATGAAAAGCACCTCAGAACACACGTGTACTGAAAGCATCGGGGAGTTTTGTGGGTTGGACCTCAGACATCTGACAGTTGCAGGCCACTGGCTCCAGAGAACAGACTGTTGAAGTCTCTAACAGAGACCTGCTGTAGGTGGTTAGAAATACTTGTTCCTGAGATAAGGAAATGTAATTACATCAGGTACTCTTCCTCTGATGCTGATCAATCAGTGAATGACATTCGAATGACTACCGCATTCAACTCATAATTGGATCATGATGCAGAGTCAGAGTCCTGATCAGTCACATAGTAAGATGGAAAAACAACTCTTCAGGTTTAATGACCTTCATCAGTCACTGCAATCTGGTGTCCTTCAGGCATCTCCTCATCTAGTAGAATTGTTAATATAAGCAAAGTACAAAAACAGTAATAAAAGAAAATGTAATTAAAAAATGCAAATACAACCACAGAAGAAAAGGAACAGGTTTGCCATCTAGCTGAAGTCCTCATTATTTATAAAAAGCAAATTCAGCTTACCTTTCAGTTTCAAAGTGAAATGAAAGAGAAGTTCTCAGAAGTCCCCTTTTTATAGTGTGCTGCTTGTTAAATGCCAAAGTGCTGAAGTGGAGACTGCATAAGTAGGGCACGAATGATTTTCCTGTGTATTTTCCTTACACACTTGTTATGCAAAGACTGAGAACAATATTAAGGGCTAAGACCTTTCTTTTTTTTCCTTTTATAAGAACAGAAAGCAAGCTTTCTAATTTCTATTCTTAATGGAAAAAAAAAAACCCAATCTTGAAGAGAACATATAACTCCAGCTTTATATACTCATACAAAAGATACAGAAATTTAAAGAAAAACACTTGCAATAAATCTGGTTGATATCGTAACTAGATTCTTCTTGTTTTAAAAGAGTAAAAATGATATGTGCTCACCAGTAGCTTTCATTGAAGGAAAGGTGCTCTTATAAATTAGGGAAAGCACTGTTGCCTTCTAGATAAAGTCTGCTTTGATAATCAGAATTCTAAACTTTTTTTCTCGTCTCTGTAGCTGGCCTAGTTGTCTTATGATTTCCCAGAATGAGAGCTATGTATACATATATCTATCTATATATACACATAAGAACAGGACAAGCAAATTGTGGAGATATCAATGTCCCTTTACCAAATGATTAGCTTTAACAATTGTTACTAAAGACCCAGATTCAAAACATTCCCCTGCTTGGTGTGCAACAAGGATTTCAATGCAGATGGAGTCATTTTATAAAACCTCTAATCATTCCAGCTGAAACATTTACTTCTATACTGTCTCAAGGAAGCAGCTGAAAACAATTGGTGTTATGTAAGTGAAGAAGGGTTAGGTAGCATCCTGCAGGTTCCCTACCTTATTTCGGAATCCTGTCGCATCCTTGGAATGGCACAGGCACCAATTTGGCACAGTCAATACACGGGTAATTCCGTTTCCGAATGGCAGCTGAGCTCCGAGGTGGCTACAGCTCTGAGAGGCTTCTGCTGTGTCAAGATGAAGTTAATGAACCTAGACTGGAGAAGAAACATTTTAAGTGATCAGTAGTCCAAGTTTCTGTGAATTCAGCATGTCCTATAGCATCTCCTATAGATCCAGTTTTTAGGCAAGTCTGTAACATTTGTAATGGTTAATACCACTTTGTTATATCATTTGTATATGAATTCATGCATACTTTAATATTCAAGCAACTTTATAAGCTATAGCAAATTACTATTATTTCTTGCAGCTAACACAGTTTATACATCAAAGATTTGCAGTATTGTATTTGCAGTATTGCAAAGTATTGCAGTCATTAAGTAGGGAAGTCACTAAACCCCACCAGCAACATATCTCTGTCCATTCAGGGAAGTGTGCAATGAAGAAAATGTGGCTTGTAATGGCTTAAGATGGGGAAAAGCTGTATAAATTATTATCTTTTACCTAGCCTCCAAAGAAACATATGTTTCAGTACCCTTTTTTTCTACCATGAGTCAGATTATATTTAAACAACAGAAGCTGATAAGAGATCTAAAACATCATCCAGTGTTACGGATTACTAATTCTTTAGATTTACTTTCCTTTGTGAAGTGGCAGAGGTTTAAGAAAACAAATAGACTAAGGATTGAGAAAGAAAGAAAGCAAATATTTTTTCTACAAGCTGGCATCACTGTTCAATAACTCTGAGGCTCAAGGTTCTGAAATCCATAGGAAAGCCCTTTGTGGTAATGCCTTTGGGAGGGGCAGCACCAGCAGAAACCATCCAGGATACTTCAGTGTTTCATCTGGACTCAGATCCTTCTTTCTCAGGAAAGTACATGAATCAGAACAACAAGAGTCCTTCTGGTGACGTAGAAAGCACGAATTACACTGTTTTGTCAGTGCCAGTAAACCTAACCCAATGGGCCTCCTCAGCTAGGAGCAAAGGAAAATGTTGGAAAAAAAGGAACCTAACGTTCAAAGAGCCAGTGTACCCAGAAAGATCACTTATTTAAGTAGCAGCTGTGCATGCTGTCCTCACATAAGTAGTTTGAATACTAATAACTATTAAGGAGGTTTCAAAGCTGGAATCACTTTCTTTTATATAGCCTTTAAATCTCTAACCCCCTGAAAAAGAGCTGAACTCTTCATTTCCCTCAGCTCACCACTTTGAAAAGCTGGTTACAAACAACTTTATCATAGCCCAACATGGATAAAGCTATACAGTGCTCTTTCATACACAAGAGAATGCAATATAACCACACTAGTTTAGTTTAGCTGCCTGAGAGACATTAATCTTAAATGTATCATGTTGCTGCAAGTTCCTGATAGCTGCTGTTGTAGTTTGTCCTTGACACTGCAATTGCATGGAAGGCAGCTGATTCTCCATGTTTGCCTACTCCAAATGATAATAATTTCCAATATTTGCCTAATATTTCTACAGTAATTTAACTGCTCTGCTGCTGTTAAAATAGACCAGATCTAGGTGCCTACAGTCCATTTTAAAAAGACTTTTTAACATCAGCTTAAGCCTTCTAAACTTTATCTCCTACTAAGCACCAAGCAATGAAGCATGTGCCCTCTTCACCACATCTGGGTTAAATTAACTGGGAGAAATCAAAATAAAACAGTCTCTCTGACTTTAAAAGGTAAGAAAGTAAACAACAATAAAATCACTTTTATACTAGTTAAAGTGCATTTATTAAGTGCATTATGAGTGAAAAAAGTAGGGATGAAACTACACTATTTATTGGGTATTATTGCTGTGTGTCCCACAAGACTCATACTACTTAAACAGGGGTTGTTCATAAATACAGCTCAGTAGCCATTACATTCCCCCTGTTAGATGCTTATCCTCCAGTTAGAGTGAGGTACTGCCAGCTTACTCACACGTTGGGGTTTGGGGGCCCAGGGCACCTCTAAGTCCAAATGTAGGTGAGTGGATGGAGGAGGAGAAGGAACTGCTGAGTACAGCTAACAAGACTCCCAAAGACAGGACAGCAGTGACAGGGAACAGAGGTCAGAGGACCTGATTTTAAGGGCTTGTTCCCTAGACTGTACTGAACTATCCTTTCATAGCACTGTGCTAGCAAAGAACATAAAATTTAAGTTTAAGAAGGAAGAGAAAAAAAAAAAAAGGTTAAAAAGAAAGTCCTTTTCTGTTCCTATTTTCTGTTCCAGGAAAAGCAAATTCCAATTATACTCATCCAGATAAGGAAGGGCAAGGTTTGTCACAGCTTTTGTGAGAGAAGCAGGCATGGTTTTGTCCTGTCAAAAATAGGTAACCTTGAAACTATTTTAACAGAAAATCTACTTACCCCCTATCTTCATATTATATCCATTTCCTTTCTCATGTACTTGAGGCACTTGCTCTAAACCGCAGATGCACACAGTGGCATACCACAGGACCTGAGGAGCTTACTGTCTCGGTAGGTTAGAAATAACTGGGATGGACTCCTGCAAAAAAAAAAAAAAAAAAAAAAAAAGGGAGAGGCATACTGCAGTTTTATCAGAGCTTATTTCTTAGTCTCTGACACAGGAGGTTATCGCTAACACTACCTGTATCTCCAGAAAGAATACATTTAAAGGCTCCTGCCAATGCAGAAGTTGAAAAGTACAGACTGAGTTTAGCCTACAGTAGAGAACACAGGTCAAAAGTTACAGCTTTTCAGCTACTGCAACTGGACAGAACAGTTAAAGAATACTGAAGAATAACGAGAGAATGGCAAGCGTTCTTCTTATTTCCTTCCACAGTGGATACCATGTCTGACATGGTAGAGACTGAGGTGCCAAGAAATGAAGTGCAAGACTGAGGAGATGATCAAGAAAGCTAAATCATGAAGAGTGAAGGGCAATGAGGCTGAGCTCCTTCTTGCTAGGCATGTAGCTCCAGTATGGGAATAGTACATGACAGCATGAGAAGTAGTTGCTGGATCTTGTTCAACAACACAACAAAAATACCCATTGCACTGTCAATTAGTAGTGTCTCAATGGGCTAAATATGTCTTTTTTTAGTAGAAATAGTAACTAGAATAGTAACCACAGAACTATCCTGCTGTGTTATAGTTCCCATGGAGATGAGCTGTACAGTGTCCCTCCTATTGAAAGTGGTAATAGGAAGCAATTTATGCTTGAACAGCCACTGGCCAAAATTACCTTGGAAACATTTGCTCATAATTCATATCTTGCCCTTATAGACAGCCACCTGGCCCTTGTTGTCAATTTAAAATAAAGATAATCAAGCTTGCAGATAGCCAAAAAAAAAAAAAAAACCCACCACACTAAGCTGTTATTATGTTGTTATTGCTGGGAAATGGCCCATCTAATGTCTCACTGATAAGTGTTTCAACATATATATCCAAAAGCACTGTCAACATTTATTTCATTCGTGATTGAAATTCAAAGTCCTTCGCAAAAAACTCATTATTGAAAACACATGGCACAAAATAGAGTTATACAGCAAAATAATAAACTCACCAAGCTGCTGTTCAGGTCTGATGGTCACAATAAAATGAAGCTGCTTTGCAACTTACTGCAGGGAACCAAAGTGGCAATGAATTCCCTGGAAACATCACATATTATGATTTTTATTGCTGTTATAAGCTGAAAATTAAGACAAAATAGGCATTATGGATTTTCATTTTGCACAGAACATTTCAGCAGATTGAACACCAAAACTCTACATGCTTTAGCTAATTACACTGAAGTATACAGTATTTATTATACCGAATCTGTTTCTTCTGTAATGGCATATTTCAGATTCTTATTAGTGCATACAAAGGTGAAGCATAGATCTTTCAGGTACTGGACCGATATTATGGCTTTTTGTTACTTTCAATTACCATGAAAAGTATCCATAGCTTCTGAGCGTAAATCTCTGGGGGCTTCACGCTAGATAAGTGAGGTTTTTTTTTTTTTAAAAAAAACCTCTAGAATCCTTTTTTTTTGCTGAACAGAATGATTGAGAGAATACTGTATCATAAGATAGGAATATGTAACTTCCTTTGAGTCCAGAAAGTAACAACAGCAGCTTTCAGATTTTCTGAGGTATCCTTTGGAACTGTGTTTTGGAAACCACCTTAGGCACACCAGCAGTTGAGCAGAAATAAAAAAGACAATAAAAGAAAACCCAAAAGAAGGTCTAGGAAACCAGTGGGAGGAGGTACTTTATCAGATACTGAGAAGGAAAATAGGAAAAGTCAGTCTCGGATAACAGATACTGGTATTTTATTTATGCTGACGCACAGCTCATTGCAATCTCTGGTGCAAGCTCCATTAGGAAACATTTCCAACTGTTTTCTTTCCACTCTGCAGTGTATTTTCTTTTCTTAGTTAGCTGACTAGAACTCCTTAGAGTTCATCATGCTGATAATGAGACAGATGAAGATCCAGAGAAACAGAAAGAAAACCAAAGGGAACAAACAGACCCCTAGAAGCTCAAATTCCCCCTGAAACGAACTGGGAGATCTTCAATAGTGCTTCAGGCTGGAACAATTCAAAATAAAACTGTTTAGCAGGTTATTAAAGCACAGCAGACAATTTAGCATGACAAATCAGAGAGAATGTTTAATAACCCTGAGAAATTCAACAAGCATGGGTGCCACCTACGTAACTTTAAAATATGATTTTATTATTCCATGAGGGTTACTCCTTATGGCGTTTTCAGAGGTTTTGTACGTTGTTGTAAAACCTAAAAGTTCTTTTCCTTGTAATACAAGAGAAACTCCAGAAAGTATTACAATCATTCCCTAAATATTCTTGCCCACATTCACGGGAGGAACGCAGGCTATAGCCTCTACAAAAACTATGGTATCTTGGGTATCTTGCCGTGCTCAATTCAGAGGGAAGCAACTGCAACAGAGGTTAACATCTGGACAAGCAGGAAGCAATATGCCTGTCAGGTGTTGCTGCTGGGTGGGAGCCAGCACTTAACAAGAGAGCTTCAAATATCCTTAAGGTAGCTTCAGGCTTACCAGAGTGCTCCAAGGATTCGAGCCAGAACATAAGCACAGTACGTCTAGTCTTTCACAGCCATTTGAGAAGTGTCTTCATCCACGTGCAGGGCCAAACGGTGCCACTGCAGCTGTGTGCACGTTGCACAACGCGAGAAATCTCTCGGAGTGAAGAGCGGGTGCAGCCAGGAGAGCTGGGCCTCAATGACCCTTGCACGGGCTCAGCTGCCTCCTGCCATCCGGCTCTGCGCCGGTCCGAGCACACGGGGCCCCTTTCGCAACGGCCGCCCTCTTCCACAGTCATCTTGGGCAAGCATCTGAAGCTGAAGTGGACCTCAAGTGTTAACTCTTAAAAATAAACTTCAAAACCTACAGAAAATAATCGTCCTTGCAGTACAGCGTTATCACAAATGATGTGTTGCTCTAATGAGTGCATGAAATCTTCACAGTCTCAGTCCTACCCCCTTCTGGGGCTCTTAATACTGATCCCCCCATGAACCTGTTCTGGCATCTATTTTTCCCAGCTATATTTCCACAGAAATGGGGCACAACTCTCTAGTAACCTACACATTTTATGCTTCTTTTACCTTTCCAAAGAAAGCATTCTGAGCCAATGAAACTGAGATGAACCATGTAAACTATTATACTTACCAAGAACTGAGACAATTTGCTAGAATAAAGGCCAAACTCAGAATTCTTCTGACAGCATTAGACAAAGATAAAAATCAGGATGGCAGTATACAGAAGCACTGAAAAAGCTGCCTATAACATGACACAGTGGGTAGAACATGATTTTTAAGTGAACTGACATATAATACACTTAAGCCTCGTACAGAACATTTGAAACATTCCTTAAATAGCTTTTACAGCTGCTACTGTGTGATGGGCTTGCAAACTTC